CCCATCTGTCTTGCTCCCTCTCTCGCCATGTGACACGTCTGGTACCCTTCGCCTTCCACCCTGAATGGAAGCTCCCTGAAGCCCTCACCAGAAGCAGATGAAGGCGCCATGCTCCTTGTACAGTCTGCAGAACCATGAGCCAAATAAACCTCTTTTCTTTATAAATTACCTGGTCTCAGGTATTCCTTTATAGCAATGTAAAGCAGACTAACAAAACTGTATTATGGTTATACAACCACAAAGAGAAAGTTGCAAAGAATATAATCAATACCATTAGATCTGGACTTTGTTTCCTAACTGATGAAATGTTATCATAATTGTGAAGCATGAAACAAAATGTCAAAACACAATTTTGAAATCCTAACTCACTTGCAGCCTGTCACTGAGGAGGACTGTTTAACTATGAGTACTAGTTTGGGAGCTGGATTCCCTGGGTTCAACGCAAGCTATGCCACTTACCAGGGTAAGTCTTGACCTCTCCGTGACCATTTTCCTCCTCTGCAAAATCAGGATAACATGGTACCCACCTCAGGACTGCCACAAGGCCCATGTCAGGACCAACCCTCTCTAAGGCCAAGTAACAGACTTTCTCTTAGATCCAGTTGATACCGCAGTCTTTAGGTAAACACATGGACACCTCCCTGGGTGAAATATCCCATTATCTATATGTCTAAATAAACGGCTACCCTGAGACCTCTGCCCCTGAGGGCACACAATGATTAGAAGATCTCTGAGTCTCCAATTGCTCATCCCTAAAATGAGTTAGATAATGTCCACAATTCTACTTCTAACCTACTACAATTTCATTATTTAACCATTTTCCACTAGACAGTCATGCATGTGATGACTTCTGAGGAACACATACCCAGGGGTTCACAGGGGTGTTATACTTTACCTGCCGAAGGTACCAAAAGATGCATCATAAAAATTAATTCCATGCTTGAGTGAACAGCAAAGATCCATCAGGAAGTTATGAACGAGCTCCCTCACCATGCTTTTCCCTGCATCTTCAGCAGAAACCTGAGGGTTTTCAAAAAAGTCAATGAAAATCCCAAGCTCATAAACCTTAGTAATAGCTACAGAGTGAAAACAGGACAGTATCACCTGCCTAATGACAACTTAGAAAACATTTTAAATTAAGTACTTGGTATCTTTCCAAAAAATAAACAAACTCCCCCTGCCGCCAAACAGATACATTGATCCAAAAAAAGAATACTCTTGAGGGGCAAGTTTAAACCTGTATTTTTAAAAGCTTAAAAATGACTTAATTTCTCTTGTACTTTTGAAAAAAATTCCACATTTGGGAGTGTTTTTATGAAGCCCCTAAGGCTTTCTGGTAATAGAGCATACAAAAACATGTTCACAGCAAGAGGACACGGGCAAGTCTCCAAGATAAAAGTAAGTAAAATAGTAGGCTCTTGAGAGGTAAATTATTATAAAGTTAACAGGAAGTCTGAGCCTTCGCTACTCTGCCCAAGTCCATGTGTAGAAACACCCTGAGGAAAATTAAAATGCACATTGGCGCTGGGTCAATGTGAGAGCAACTGTTTTAATTTAGCACTTGAGTTAACCATTACAAAATAAATTATATGTGGCAGTGAGGATCCTAGATACACAGGATTGTGAAGTAAAACAAACAAGCCTTAAGACTCCAAAAGCTGGATGTGAAAGAATGGAAGGCAGGAAAAGGAGAGGTAAAAGCAAGGGGAGGAAGGGAGAGCCTCGATGAATCCTATAGATCTATCAGGCAAGCACTGCAAGGAAAACTTAAGATGTTGTTCAGCCAAAGGGAGTAACAGTTTCCTCTGAGGATCATACACCAGTGATGAGGTCAACTGAGCCCCCAAAGTGACCGCACCTTGACGTTTTCTGGGTTCACATCGGCAGTCCCATTCCAGCTGTAGAGAGATGCTATGTGGTTCAATAACTGCCCAGTAAAGAAACGCACCTTCTGGGTTTTTGTGATATTTTGATTGTGAACCACCTAAACATGGTAATAAAACAAATGAAGTTCAAGGAATTAAAATATTTTTTAAATAGTGTTTGCTTTCTTATCATTACAAAAATAATGCATGCCAATGGTAGAAAATTTGTTCCAAAAAAACGGGATAAACATAAACATAAAAAATTCACAAAAATTCCCAACCATCCTAGGATATCCAGTTACTAGGTTGGTGTATTTCCTTTCAGCCCCCACCACGTACACACACACACAATATTCATGTGTATGTATCGACTGTCTTTTTTTTGGCCTGAGATTATATTTATATGTGATTTTGTGCCTGCTTTTATTTACAGAGCATGAGCTTTTCCCACATCAATAAAAATTCCTTTAGAACATCATTTTGGAGGGCTAAATACCATTCTATCCTACGAGTGGACCATAACTTATTTAACTAGTCCCCTGGTATTTACAATTAGGTTGTTTCCAAACTGTGCCTATTCTCCATACTGCCATGATTAGCATCCTTATGCAAAGTCTTCACTGCAGCTCTGACTATGGACTTGGCACGGATTCTTATAAATGGAATTGTGGCACAAAAGTTCTCGGCTCCACCCAAAACTATCCTCCCCTCCTGAATCTCTGAGGGTGAGGCCCAGGTGTATATATTTCAAATACATTCCCCAGGTGGTTCCCAGGAAACCCTCCCACCCCAGTTCAGAACCGTATGTCAGGGTCCATGAACATACTTAAGACCTATGACATATACTGCCAGAAATGCTATCTTCCAAGGGGGCTGTAACACTTCCTCCAGGAAAGTATCTGATTCAAAGCTACTTCGCTAGCATTGAATATTATTGTTTTCAAAAGTCAATGCTATGTTTGTAGATGAAAAAACCTGTCTGTCACTATTTGCACTACTTTAAGGTTTCTCGACCCTGGCTCTATTGATAACTGTGGTGGGGACTGTCCTGTGCATTGTAGGATGTTTAGCAGCATCCCTGGTCTCTACCCACGAGATGCCAGTAGCACCTCCTCAGCTGTGTCAACTAATCGAAAATGTCTTCAGACACTGCCAAATGTCCCATGGAGAGTAAAATCACCCCCAGTTAAGAATCACTGTTTTAAATACTATGAAAGTAAAGCCTTTTCATGTTTGTTAGCCATTTTTATCTGAGCTTTTGACAACTTTTCAGATTGAAAGGGTCAGAGGTTTTCTAACTGATCATTTCAGGTGCTTCTGTATTAAGTGATCCTTTTAGCAAGTCTTTAAATTTCTGTAAGATGCTTGCAAAAGGCAGAATATGGAACATGACACAAAATAATATTCTGCTAGATGTGTAAATTAAGTATTATTTGTAATTTACAGCTTACAATTATTACACTGGCTTACTGTGAAATGTTGATCAACAGCTTTTCTGCAATTGAACAGAACACCAGCCTTGCCTGAACATCAGGGTCTGCTCCAGTTACTCTTTAACCTTCTAGTCCAGGATTTGCTCATCACCAAGAACAAGTTTTGGCTTAAGAAATAGTCCTCCACCCAACCTCTATAACAACCTACATAAGATATTGTAGCTCTAGAGTCAGGCAAAGCACTAGAGAGCATTTCTTCATTCACAAGGAGAAAGCAGACAACAGAAACAATGATCGCCAAGCACATACCTTTGTTTTCAGTGTGGATAACAAAATATTGATAGTAGAAATCCTATCTTCCTTTATGCCTGAGCTAAAAATGCAAGGAATAAACTCTGAAAGTAAAAGTTTCAAAGCATTAAATTCAAAAGTATTTGAAAATGAGAACAGAGAACATGACTGTGTAAATTGTACAACAAACAACTCCATTCACCTTTTTTTTTGAGTTTTGTCTTTTTAACTAAACAAATTCACAGTAGGAACGACCACCTTCTGTGACATAAGGAATCAAGAGTACCTAACGGTGAATGAACCAATGAAAGAACTTTTAAAGCGGTTCAGCAGTTCTTAGTTCCGTTTTACTTTCCTTTTCTCACATTAAGTAAAATTAACATAATACTGTTTGTAAGAGAATGTACAGTATAATAAACTAATAAAATTTCTTGCTTAGACTTGCTCAGAGGTATGTTTAAAGTGATTGGTCATCTTTTTACTGGTTGGCGGTAGAATTTTGGGTAATTTGTTTGTTTGCTTACTTTTTGCTTTCTCTTCATACTTTTTGATCCCCAGGGAAACAGCCACCAGGGCTTGACACTGGGTCATCACTAATGCACTGGCGACAGTGAGCAGAAGCATCAAAGCAATTATAATTTTACTTGTTCCATATGTGCTTATGGGCACACATAATTTCTACAAAAGCAAATTCCTTATTTTTAAACAAAGAAAAATCAGAAAATGCCAGACAAAAGGATAAAACTAAAAATCAGTAATAACCCCACTACCCGGAGGTTAACACTGAGTTAACTGTTAACCTTATGTATCCATACTGTCCTATTGAACAAAACCTCTACTCACATCCTTAATTATTTCCTTAAGATAAATGAATAGACATGGAATTGCTGGATCAAGCATCTTAAAAGGTTTTCTTTCTTTTTTTCCTCATCTTTTTCCACTGTGTGACCCACTTCAGTGCCAGCAGCCTATGGGCAGAGGCCAGGCAATGGTTCGGGGCCAGTTTGCTCTAGCATGGGGCACTATGACAGACCCAGGGTGTACGGGCCTGTCAGAAATCCATACCCATGCGTAAGCATCTTAAAAGTTTTGATGCATACAGCCAAACTTCCCAGCAGAAACACACTGCAATACATTCTCGCCCTCTTCAACAGTGCAAATGGTTGGTCTCCATTGTCTTTAAATAAAAGGCTAGATGGCTAAGATGACCCAGGGGAATTTTAAAGAAACTGCTAGCCCTGGCAGCAAGACATCCTGAATCTAGTTCCCGGTAACAAGCAGGGAAAAAAAAATTTGTCTGCTGCATCATGCAAAGAGAATGCATCTCTGTTCCCAGGCTGCTCTACCGCAGCGGTGATGAAGAGCCCCACACCCCTGACCAAGCCGACACCACCCTTAAATGGCCCCAGCAGTCACTCTAGAGGGGACTCAGGTCTCCCACCCTGGGGAAGGTGGGAGAAAGGCTGGAGATCCGACCACTCTAGACTACAGCACCCTGCTACTCCTCCTCCAACAATTCCCAGAGTTCTGGCCAGGACATGGGACCACTCCTCGTCTCCAGATTGTGCGATTCTGGGTAATCTTACTGAGCAACTGCCATGTGCTAAGCTAGGTGCTGCCATTTACTGTCTCACTGAATCTCTTGACAAAACATGAGCGGCCCTAACAGATTAAATGATGCCATGCCTCCCTCTGGGGGGACAGCCACAGAAGGTAGTCAGGCTGGAATTTCCTGAAGGCCTCTGACTGATGTTCTGGCAACATGGGGCAGAACCGCCAAAGTAATTAAACTTTATTTAAAATGCAATTCTTAAGGAAAGCCCGGTAGCCAGGGCTATAATAAATCTGTGCATGTTCTAGAGCCACGAAGCCTCCTTTGTTTGCCCGAGCCTGCCGCTCTGAGGTGTGCGTTTATGCTTTGTTACGGCAGTACCATAGATGGCATAACAGGAACACTGCTGTTCATTCTGACAGCGGTATCAAAACAGCACTGACAAAAGCTTCACCCCCCGCCCACCCACGCACACTCATTCCAGTGTACACAGCAGCTGCAATGGCTGCAAACTTTTTTCTAACCTGGAAAAAACGGTTTGCAGTGGGTTTTTTAAAACAATCGCAAATGAGTTTTCTTAAGAAATAAAGGGGAACACCTACCTTTCACTTCCAACACTTGCACTATAGTGCTGTCATCGCCAGTGATTAAAAAGGAGAGGGCAAACTGAATGTAGGCCAGCCGAACATCGTGCACCCCCTGGAGGACAGAGGAGACCACGTGTCACGTGCACGTTCCACACAGAGGCAAAGGAAACAGGAATGCAGTCGGCACGCATGCACTTCCGTGCCAATGTCACCAGCCCCCAGTCTGGTCCCCAGTCATCGGGGGATGCAAGTCTGAAACCAATGCTCACTCTTTACAGAAAGCAAAGGGTTTTTCTTTGCTCTTACCCCTCAATCTTCTCTACTTTACCTTCTCTTTCAAGCCCTTTTCTCGATACAAAAGTACAGGTGAAAAATAGTTGTGTCCCCTTCCCCAACCATAATATGGATCACTTTGGCATAGAGCAAGATTCTCAGCCTGCCTATACCCACTACTCTTGCTTGCTGAAGAAAATGATCTACAGCAATTTTGAAAATCCAAAGATAATGGAAAGACTGGTGTTGCATTTGATAAGACACCGATGTGGGCATGTCTGGTTTTTATTAGATATTGTGAGTAAGTTATTAGCTCATACCAGAAACCAAAGCATAGATGTTACGAACCCTGCGAGGCCTTCCCAGGGCTGTAGCCCACACTGTCCCATGTGCATCGGGCATGACCCAGGGCAGCGGGTACACTCAGCAAGGGCCCAACGCCACAACAGCAGCCAACACTTCCAGGGAAGCCATTAGGGCCACCTGGTCAGTTTCGCCTCCCAGTATGGTTACATCAAAGCTGTGTTTCATTATCTCTTGTTTTACATCTAAGGAAGCCAAGGCTGTGATCATGCAGGTCTCTCATCAGCTGTTGTAGAACTAGCATAAATATTTAGATTCTCCACTGCTTAAACCAGAAACTTTTCCCTGCTTCAGTTATTCCAAAGGTACCTTAATGCACTGCCAAGAAATACGTTAATATCACAACAAATTATTGCCCTGAAGGCCTGGAAAGATTAAGGACTATTCTTTGTCTTCCAGATAGTTCCAGCCCGCTTAGTAGTAGCAGTAGAGGTGGTGCCAGAAGTCATAGTGATGATGACGATGGTAGTGATGTTTATTGAGCACTTACTATGTGCCAAGCACCATGCAAAATGCTACACATCTATTATCTCACTAACTCCTCATAACAACCTGAGGTAGAGATACTTACACCACATCCATTTTACAGATGTGAAAACTGAGGCTTTAAAAACTCACTCAAGGTCACACAGCTACTAAGTAAATAAGTACCAGAGTTGGGGTAATAAATTATACAAGCATACTGCTTTACATCTGACTAGAGAAATTCTTTCTTCTTCTCAGAATTCCTATGACATTTTCATTTCACTTTTTCTCAGGGTGCAAGGGTCATACTTGGCATGAGGTAGGTCTCTGTGTAAGTATCTATTAATTCCATCTTGTTTTGTTGGGTGTATGTTTCTTCTGGAGAAAAGGAAGGACATCTAATCCATGCTAACAACTGGATCACAGCCTTGCACATTCATATTTATTGAGTCTATCTCTGTTCATGTTACACAGCATTTCGGCAAGACCTTACTAGACCAATGTGGGTTTATTCCAAATACATTGAGAGCTTTAAACTATTCTCTCTATTCTGGGGGACCTATCTGCGTGCCTCTTCACAAGGAATTCGAGTATGATGATAAACCAGTATTGGGAATGAGCTACATACACTTCTTTAGAGTGCCAGCAACACTCCAATGCCTTCAATAGCCACCTCAATGTTTATAAAACACCCATTGTATTCAAGATGCCGTCATCTCGGGCTAAGAGAGGATGCAAAGATGACTAAGATATTATCCCTGTCATCAGGAAGATTTAAGTGACCACTGATCCCAAGCCATCTAGATGCCTCATAGTTCAAATAAACATGTCACCTCATTCAAGCAGTTCATTTGTTATCTTGGTCTACATATGCCTTGTGTTTCAAATGAATGCTGATAAAATGCTAAAACTTGCCTAGCGAAATTAAATTAGGTTTTATCCTTTGCCTGCTAGTAGAAAGGTTCCACTTTTTGGTGGGGGGTGGTTTACTGCTGAAGTAACAGTATTGGGAGTCAGGGCCTTGGAATCTTGGTCCCAGTTTTTCTGCCATTCTAGATCTTTCTATCCTGCTTGTAGAGAGCAGAGTTAGACTAGATCCTCTCACGGGTCCCTCTAGAAATGAACTGCTAAATGAAAAGGGATTTAGTTATTACCTTCTGGCTCCCACCTTGTATATCCCAGATAACCCCAAATTTCAGTTTCCTAACACTGGGCCGGAACTAGGTGAGACCCCCAGGACACAGCACCTGCCTGCTCCAGCTCACCACTGCCGTGGCTCCTGCTCAGCTGCCAGGGCCTCTGCCCCCCACCTCCAGCACACTCTATCGAAGACAACCCACTCCCACTGCAAGAGGGCCACGTGCCTGCTCCTCATTCCTACCCTGTGACCTCACAGGGATATTATCCCAGGAAGAAAACGTCCTGAACTCTTCAGGGCTCGTTCTACAAAACACCGTCTAAAATAGACCAAAACATATTTGGTAAAACTGCTCTTTGGCACAGGATTTTAACAATGCTTTCTTTGGCTGGATGAATATATCCTCTTTCTTCATGAGGCTTTAATAATTCCCTCCAAAATGCTAAAAAGCACTCATTTAAAAAAAAAAAAAAATCACTGCCAGCATCTTCAACAACTAAATGGCATTAAAAAAAAGCAGAGGGTGGAGTACGAAAGAAAAACTCAGATTCAAAGAGATTTAAGAAACAAATCAACCAAATGCAACATGTGGACTTTGTCTGGTCTGAACCACAAAGTGCAAAAACATTTTTGAGATAGTCAGGAAAAACCCGAGAGCAAACTAGGTAACAGATGATATTGTGAAATTATTGATGGTGTTAGGTGTGTGATCATGGTACTGTGATTTTTTTATCTTCAAAAGGTCTTTTTCTGCTAGAGTACCTGCTGAAATATTTATGATGAATCATGATTCACACCTGAGACTTGCCATAATAGACCCCCCCCCCCCAAACAAACTGAGAAGGTGGCAGGGCAGAGGCTGATGCTGGATGGCAGGTACGTGGGGTCCTCGTGTTGTGCTCTTTATTTTTTAATGTCCCTGACATCTCCAATATTAAAAAAAAAAACTTAATGTCAAGACTCCATTTCCTACAACATACAAAGCATGTAAGATACTTGATACAGAAGATTATACAAAAGAAAGTAAAAACATTTTCAACTTGACAATAACGCCCATCTTGCAGATCCTAGAGAGGTCAAATAACCTGCACTGATACCTGAGATAAAAGAGCTTGTGCGCAGGGCCAGGGTTCAGGAAGGGAAGCCTTAGGTGGGCTTTCCTATGGCGTCTGGGCTTGGTGGGTGGCCTGCGTACTTAAGCCTTTCTTACTTAGAAGGCTGGGAGGGCTGAAGTCAAAACAGACAGCCGTGGGGTGGGTAGGGGGAGGGTATTTGATGCAATTACTGCCAGGCTTACTGCCAGGCTTACTGCCAGGTAAGACCAAAGAGCCATGATATTTGCCCTAGTGTGCAAATAGCACACACATTCTTTTTATGAGAAATGCACTTAAATGTCAGCAGCCATTACTCACTGAATGGAATCTGTTGACATCTTAATAACACATAGAATCTAAGAGACACTAAGAACTGGAATTTTTTTCTTTGGAAAACACCTTATTTGAAAGTCCAGCAAAACCGTCAACACCAGGCCAATCTCACAGAGCCACAACAGTTACTTGGTGTTTTTATTAACTCTTCGGCCTATTTCCTGGCAATGTAGAAACTCTTAATTCCCAGGAATAGTGAGAGAACAAGGCAGCATATGGTCCCCGAGAGGTGAATCATTCTAATGTGGGCTGATAACTGTCCACTTGTTCTTTATGCTCACGAGAGGGGGTGAGATGATGGCTGGGACTGTTGACAGCGCCAAGCGCCAGCAGGGAAGCCGATCCGGCAAGTGGGAAGAGGCCTTTGACAACCTGCAGCTGGCACATGCGATGGGAGGATGCCCTCTCTCAAGCTGATGAGTCCTCAAACTGTGCTCTCTCCCCAAGAACCTTTCCAACCCAAGTGAAACTTCCAGAACCATCACAGAATCTGTCTTTCACATCGCTGCTGAAAATCACCCATCCACACTCCCATTCTCTGTGACACAATCCAGCCTCTACCCATTATAAGGTTATAATTAGGAGGCACAAGTCGCTTATTAAATAATGAGCCATGAAAGTCTTCTTTGAGGACGTCACTGGCTTAGAGTTCCAAGGGTTTTTTCCCAAAGTGGTCAGAACAAGAACAGAGGGCTGGGACCCACTGTAAGCTTCATGGCCAGGAAGCACATGGAGGTTACTTCGCTTACTCAGCAGAAAAGACGCTCACAAACTAAGTCATCCTCACAGCCAGGAAGGCACCGTGCCACTGATCGCCGCCCCACACGTACACCAGAAACTTCCTCAGATGTCCCCATTGTTCAAGCTCTACCAGGCCCCATCACCAGGCAGGATTGAGGCCTGCCCTCCTCACAGACAGACACCGTGGCTGCCACGGCAACCCCCTCTCCACAGCTGCCTCTCACTTCGTCTGTGTGGGAACTGAGGGCAGAGAGACATGTAGGAGGCATGAGACACTCAGGCTTCCTCACCTTTGAATCCCTCTTGGTCGCCAGGGCATACAATGTCTTTTTATTCAAATCAAAATGGCTGCAGACATCCCTGGCAGCTTCGGGACCCTGGGTCACCATGGCGGCCATCAGGTTCAGGCAGGCTCGTGCCAACCTGCACGGGGACAGGGACAATGAGGAAAACAGACAGTCAAGGATGGCAGAAGCACAGAGCCACTTCACCACAAAGCCAACTGCACATGTGGTTGTATAATTTGCTACCCCCAAACCAGAAAAAGGAAGATGACATGTTTTAAAAAAAAAAAAAAAAAAAGCGCTTAACAAAAACTTCAAAAAAAAAAAAAACAAAAACTAAAAATTAAGGCTGAGTAGGACCAAGATCCAAATGAGATGGAAATTTCTCTCGGGTAAACCATCATGTGACTGAGACCACACCTTAGTCCCTGTGTTTGTGGGACACAGAGCAAGACTTCTTCACAAAGGCGTCTCCAAGAGAGCTCTTGGCTGCCTTTCTGTTCTGCAGTTACCCAGCTCTGCTACACACAAGGCCCTGTTCTAGGTGCTGGGAAAGCGGCATTCGATAACACAGGCAGGGCCCCTGCCTGCATGCACCTTGCATTCTAGTGGAGGGAGATGCTCAGCAGATATTTACAGAATATCGTGTGAACCACACAGTTGTATAAATAGTTATTTGTCTCTATGGAGAAAAATAAAGCTGGCTCAAGGGACAGAAAAGGACAATGGGAATGCTATAGGACACGGGATGGCCAAAAGAAGCCCTGCTGGGTGACACTTCTGCAAAGGCCTGAGGGCGGAGAAACAGCCAAGACTATCTGCGCTGTCTCTCTGCCACCGAGGTAGAAGGAACCAGCACTGGAAAAGCGTGTCTGGGGCGTTCCCGGGACAGAGAGAGAGGGACAAGAGGTAGGAGGGCAGTCAGGGATAGCAGGGGCTGGTCCACAGAGGAAGGAGAAGCAGAGACATAGTCTTGACAGCCTCGGAAGCAGCTCAGCGCTCCTCTGCAAGCAGAGGTAGAGGTCACACTCCCTAGAGGAGAGCCAAGCAGACAAACCCAAAGGCTAGTCCTTTGCCACACGAAGGCAGGCAACTCACCTGTACCCCGAGGCATACAGGGCCTCGCAGATGAGCTTCATGTGGTTGTTCATCAGCTTTTTCACAATGTTGGTTCCCACCACATGAAAATGTGAAAGATCACTTGCTGTCCTCAACAATATGGCCTCGAAAACTTGAAATATTAATAGCATCTGCAAAGCCGGAATTGAAATGCTTAGACATCATCTCAATTCTTTCCCTCCTATGCTCCGCTTCACTTAGCCATAGTTACTTACAGACTTAAAACCTTCAACGTGCGGTATTAAGCCTATCCAGATCCTGAGCAAGAGGTGACAAAGGCGGGGGGTGACAGCTTGGCAGGCTGACCTGCCAGGACTCAGGCTCTGGACTTAGCCTTGCTCCCACAGTCTAGCGAGACAGAGAACAGCTTACTTACAACTCCACAAAATGAAACAAAGGAGAAAATTCTCTTAAGGACTGGGCCTCACTGCTTTGGGGATACTCAGGTCTACGGCCTTACACCAAGAACCCTGAGATTTCAACCGGTTCATAAATACCCCAAATTTTTAACCTCTTTGGAACCAAAAGACAACAATTAATGCAGTATGTGTTCTGAGTCTGTGACACAAAGTTTTTATCTTTTTTTTGTTTAAACAAACCATATGAAACCAAGTGTATTTTGATTAAGTATCTATCATCCTTCTTTACGGATAATAACAAGTTGGTGGTTTCCAGTAAAACACTTTCAAAGGTCATGGAGGCAAAAATGAATATATTCCTATTACGCAAAGTAAAATTTTCTGTAAAAAGCTGATAATGTCTTAGATATTTGTATCACATTTGTCTTCATCAAGCTTAACACAAGAGTAGCATTAACTTTCCTCCTCTTCCCCAAGCCAGTAAGGAACAACATACTTCACTTTCAGGCCGCTTCTCTCCACTCAGGAGCTGGAAAATTTCAGCACACTCAACAGAAATCTTTATATAACCTTCCACAACATCGTACATGTCTTCTCGTGGTAGCTTCTTGGCAGCAGAGACAAATGCTTCCAGGGCTGAAATAAGAATTATGTTCAAACATCAACAAGGTCACTCTCCTTAGAAATAATCACGACCTGCTTTCTGTTCTGTGACCCTCCCCAACCTAAATACATAGCACAGAAGCTACTGTGAATGCTATAGACTTAACTGTTTCCCCCAAACAGTTGTAAGACTCTAGTCCAATACAACTGGTGTCCTTATAAGAGGAAGACATACTAGCGAGCTCTCACTCTGCATGTGGACATGGAAAGAGGTAGCCTGTCTGCAAGCTAGGAAGAGTGCCCTCACCAGGATCCAACTACGCTGGCACCTTGATCTTGGACTTGTGGCTTCCAGAACTAAAAGAAAGTAAATGTCTGTTGTTTAAGGAACCCAGTATATGGTATTTTGTTATGGCAGCCCTTGCGGACTAATCCATATGGACATTATAAAAATACTTGCAAATGATGAAGGCAGTGCAGGAATAAAACAAACTAAAATGACTCACCTGGACTCCCTCTTAGCTTTCACTCCCTCATCCACTGAATGGATATAACAATAAAAATAATAACACGGTAATGAAATATTACCAAGACCCCCTCTTAGCTCTCATTCCCTCATCCATTGACTGGATATAACAATAAAAATGATAACATGGTAATGAAACATTTCCCATTGTACAGATGAGAAAACTGAGGCCCTTGTCCAAGGTACACAGCTAGTAAATGGCAGAGCCAGGACTTAAACCCAGGCAGTCTGGCCCAGGTTCTCCCTTCTAAAGCTGGACAATTCCTGCACACGCCACAAAAGTGACACCTGTAAGTGAGATGGGTATGGAATGTCCACGCAGCGCTGGGCCCACAGTCAGCACACCAGGAACTTCAGCTGACGGTGGTGCTCTTCAAAAGTCCTAAGGGGTAGACCCTACAGGTTCGTATCCCCACAGGCCACCCCAGAAGTTACTGCCCCCAAAATCTGCCCTGCCAACAGCTTGAAGATTCCATTACACTTCCTCTCATTAATATACCCCCCCAGCTAATATCTGAACCCCCGCAGCCCCCACCGCACCAATGGGGAGCCGCCTGTGTGCTCGCTGCCCACGGAACTCTCCTTTCAGAATCTGAGCTCTAGAAAACTGCCTCTCTCTGTTTCAACGCTTTGCCTCTCTTTGGTTCATACTTCTCAAAACACAGGCTAACGGTGGCACACCTTATTAGGGCCTTCATTTTTTCTAAGGGATGGGGAGGACCTATCTTAATAGGAAACAAAGGAAGGGAGTAAGTATTTCCATTAAAACACTCTTACTCATTACCAATGAGTAAAATGCAAAATACCAACAGCTTTTACGAAATTCAGTACGCAGTCTTCATATAAACACCAAGGTAGGGTGCTCTGCTTTTGAAAAGTGCCCCCGTGTCCCCAAGAGACTCTTCCTCTGCCTCCTCTGGGGCCATAGGTAATGGGTTCCGTCTTTCCCACACTAGCTACCATCCCGGAGTCAGTCGGCAGCTCTGAAAGCCAAATGCTTCCTTCAACCTCTCTCCGGAGGTTAGAGTTTTGAGATCCTTTTGTGTTCAGATCAATCTCGATGTCCCCTGGAAGCACGAGGCCCAGAATAGGACTTGGTACTGCAGGTGGGGCCACCAGCTGGGCAGAGCAGACCAACAACACATCTTTCTTTCCAGACAGCAACTCTGTGTCTCTGATTAGCACCCCGATGCGCTCACAGTGCTACTAAGCAACATCCACCCTGGGACTCACAACCTGGACCTTACACTAAGAACATACCAGGTAAGAAAGTAAACTGGAGCCAAAGGCTTGGGCATGCATCCCAGCTTGGCCCTTTACTAGCTGCATGATACTGAGTAAGCCACTAAACTCTTAGTTCTGGGTACCTCTGGTAAAGCGAGAACAGGACTACATGACAGGGTTTGTATGAAGTGTAAAAGGGCTAATTTACATGTAAAGCATCTAGCATCACACTTAGGGCCAGGTAAACCCTCAAAAAATAAAAAGCCCCCAGTGGTCCACAGCAGCAGCCTTGGACATCTGGTCACATTCAGCGTCTGCCAGCCTCACGATGTGTTTTCAGATCCCGTTTTATGCTGCAACATTTTTTGCAGTGACCACCCTCATTTCTTCAACAGCTACCGAGCGCCTTTGCTGGGTGGGCAGGCACTGCTCTGGGCACTGGGGCCAGACTCCATCGCTGCCCGTCTGAAGCATAGTCTAGTGGTGATTATGAGTAGGGGTCGTGGGTGTTCCGGCTGAGGTGGCTGTGAGTCACAAGAGTGCAAGCCTTACAGGCACCCCGGAGCCACTCACAATACCTACTGTCTCCCTCAGAAAAACACAGAATGCAAGTGACAGCAAAGCCTACTAATGCAGGAAGAGCAGTGCTAACACTTACTCTTTTTTAAAGGAACCGTTTGCTAAACTCCAGCACATTAACTCCCAGCAGTCTAGGGTGTTAAGAGGGTGGGAACTGCTGGTCTATTGCATTTGCCATCTCTCTGTGTGTTCATCCTTCCATTCGCCATTTACTGAGCACCTACCACGTGGACCAGGCACCGCTGGTGCCCAGACATGCTGGTGAACAAACTGAAAATGGCCCCTACCCACATGGTGCTCGCGCTCTAATGGTAGAGACCAATGTACATTTCATAAATATTTATTAAGCACCTACCACAATCACTTAAATCGACACATATTATAAACTGTAGTAAGTGCCATACAGCAAAAGTTACGGCTGTAATGAGAAGCTAAACTGGGAACATGATTTAGTTAGAAGGTTGGGAAGGTATTCTTTGAGGGAATAATGCCAAACATGAGAATGGTGAGAATGGCAGGGGCGGGCAGGTGGGGCGGTGAGACAGTGGTTGGGGAGGGTAAGGGAGTAAGTGGAGAGGGCAGCCTGAGATGAAGACAAGTAGGCAGGATGAAGAGATGACTTTGGATTTCATCCTAAGGGTAGCAGGACACCACCGAACAGTGTCGTGATAGGAGTGAAATGATTGGATTTGACATTTTAAAAGATCATCTGCCTGCTGTGTGTAGCATGGGCTGTAGGGAGGCAAGAGTAAAAAAGAGACCAACTCTAGGTAGCTCCTGCTAGGACTAGAAAATGACGAAGATGAGAGGGAAGCAGAGAGGCTCCAGAAATACTCAGGAGGAGACCCACCAAGGCCAGGGGATGGACTGAGGCAGAAGGAGGTTTCTGGCAGGAACATGCAGGTGACTGGAATTATCGCACACTCCAGTCGGGAACTCAGAAGCAATGTGCAGATAGGGAGATCAAGAGTTTAACCTCTAGTGTACTCATATTTACAATACGGCCTTTTCTCTATCACCAGAGAAGTCATAGGCAAAAACTTTCAAAGGCACTGGCTTGAAACAGAACCTTCTTGATCTGGTAACCTCCCTAAAGCTGACATTGATCCACTCCTGAGCGGCCTCTGGGTCTCCACCAGTCTAACCCTGCAGCTCTGATTCCTCTACTACATGTAGGCGGCATAACCAGAAACCTTCCCTCATGCCTTGAAAACAAAATCCCCTAAACATCCATCAATTCCACTCCCTGATCTTCCAGTGATCCTATCAGAGGAAGTTATAAGAACATACCAAAAGGGAGAGAATCCAAGACAGAGACCAGATTCAAACACAAATCCAACACAACCTCACACAAAGGATTCACACTTTCACCCACTGACTTCAGCTTTGCCCCATCTTTCAACTACTTCACCTACAGCCATCGCCTGTCAACTCAGGTTTCCTTCTGCCACCTGTCGAAATGATATAGCACCTGAATGTCATAGTGCTCTCTGCAAGACCATGAAATACGGATACTACATCTTTTCAATAATTAAACACGCTCTCTCTTCTGCCAGAAAGGTTCTTGTTCCTGTCCTTTGTCCCTATGCCACGCTTTTGAAAAGCCAGTTCCTCAAGGGAGCCTTCTTTGATCTCTCATGTTAGATCCAAGGCCTGTTAGGCACCCTCAGACACCTTGTACCACTCCTTTGGAGCACTTGAAATTGTATGCATGTGATTTTATCGATTGATATCTGCGTTCCCCACTTGACTGTCTATAAGCCCCACATTGGCAAGGCCAGTGTCAGATTTTTATTCACCATTTTATCTGTCCCCTAGCAAATAACAGCCCCTAGTACCTACTAGGGGAAATGTATAAATTCTGTGCTAAAGTAGGTATCATCTTCCTAACACTGACTAGCAGGTACAGGTATCAGAAGTTTAAAAACAAAATCTGTAGAAAAATTGGAAACTGAAGATATTCTGGCCATTAATTTATTCCTGTAACCTGGGAGAAACACTTTCACTGTTTTATTTTAGCAGAATGTTTGCATATGGCAACATGTTCAACTGTGTTTTTCCCAAATTGTGTTACTTTCCAAAGGATTATGAGTAGTTGTGAAGGGGGGGGGGTCGTCACACTTTATAAGAAGTGAAATTCAATTACAGAATCTGCTTCATCTCAGTCACTGGTCCCATCTTGGTCAACTGACAAGTAGTTGTGGTGGCTTCCGGTAGCTTGTTACATGTTATTGAAAATGGTGCTCACAGCCCAAGGAGTAGCAAACTGTCTCGCTGAACTGCCCTGAGCTGACTCAATAAGGACTCAATAAACATTTGTTGTGTGACTGAGTGCGACGCTTCATTTACTTGCCTGACAACTGCAATAAGGAGGTTTTAGAGCTTGCTGAGGGCCGCTGCCCACACAAGGGTCATGTGGAGCCCCATGAAACTGTCACAACCAAGCATGTCGGGGCCCTCCTGCTGTCGCTGACAGCTCAGGGCAAGGAAGTGCTGCACGTAGTTCTGCAGCTGCCCCGGAAGGCCCGGGGCCCTGGACGCTAGTCACCAAGGCCCCAGTTTACTGCAAAACTGGAGGCTTGGTACTGACCCTAGGTGACCCAAAAGCTGCAAAAAGGAGAGGTTGTGCTGGCACACAGGAGGCCCCCCGGCAGACCCAGGCCGGGAGGCCACCTCGCAAGCAGGTGCTCCCTGCCTTGGCCTGCCGCCTCGCACTCACCTGGCCCGGTGTCCTGCGGGTCCCTCAGCTGAGCCTTGAACCGCACGCCCGTGAGCTCTTCCTTGCGGGCCCGCTTGGCTGCGCCCGCGGAGGAAGCCTGGCCGCCCCGGGCCTTCCTCTTGGGGACCCCCATGGCCGAGAGGGTGGGGGCGCGACGGAAATCACACACTTGCGGGTACCTGGCAAAAAGAGGCACACAGACAAACGACACGCGTCTCCAGTTCACGTGCAGGGAAGAAAGGAGCGTGGACTGGCGGAAGAGGCGGGGCCTCGGGAGCTGAGGCCAGCGGAAGGGGCGGTCCCAACGGGGGGCCGAGACGGACGGGAGGGGCGGGGCCTAAGAAAGGGGCGGGATGGTGGGAAGCAGGAGTGCCCGGTAACGCCGTGCGTCTGCGGTCCCTGTTGGCTCTCTCACTGTTAGGACGAGCGGACACTCCACGACCCGCTGCCCGGAATGCCGCGGCTTGAGGCCCAGCGGGGCGCGCCTCCTGCCCCTGGCGGCGCTCTCGGTTGCGCTTGGCAGGAAAAACTCCCAGACCCTTCACCTCCGTCCGACCGGACCGCGACGCGTTGAAGCAGCACAATGAGTTCTTGACCTGAGGGCGCTGTAATGGTGTCGCTTGAAGAACTTGATTCACACCCGACAGGATTGGATACTTTGCCAATTCGGGGCCCAGCGGATTGGCGGGAAGGGTGGATTCCCCTTGGCATAAATGTCATGCCGGCTTACTGCCGGAAGGTCCTCCTCCTTCCAGCACCTGTGCCGAGGGGCCACGCAGGTGCCCCCAACCCTGACGCTTAGCTTGTGTCACAACCGGAATCAGACCGGCTTGTCTCGTGGGCTGTCGTCCCAGACTGTCCACCCAGGCTTCCCCTAACTGATGGATGGGAGTACTTGGACTCTGTGCCCTGCAAGGTGGGAGGAGAGGGTCGAATGAAGTAACGTCTGTGAAAACCCTTCCTGGACAGCGTAGGGCCTCCACATCTAAGTTCCTGTCATTAAAATGGAGACAGCAAAGCCAGCTCTACCTAATCCCTGTGGCTGTTATTAACAGCAAATGATGGAATGTATGAAAAACTGCTTCGATGGGGAAAAAATACAGTGTGGTTTTGTAAGATGTTATTAATGGACTTGTGAGTTGCATTAAATGATTTGAAATAAAATGGAGATAAAAATGAATACAGGCTGGTTCATTTTTTTAATACAGCTTCAATCAATACTTGGGTATGTGTTCAAATAAATCATGAACCAGCTCATTAGATGACTGATTTGGTAATTTCTGGAATTCTCCTTCACGTTGTTATCTAGTGTGAGGAAATACTGTCATGTTTTCTGTAAGCAGATATATTTTGAGCATCTGAGGACATGATCTTTTGTGGCCTACTGGGGTTTCAGAGTTTCTAGTAGGAAAAGCACGTTGTGTTCACCCCGAGTCTCTGGCCTGGCAAGTGGATTGTGCCTGTGGAAATGCCTTTGATGTAGAGAGTTCAGACAGGAGTTGCCCCAGCAGATTTGAGCTGATGTGGAAATATTAAGAGAAGGAGATATGCTCAAAATTCAGGCTGTAAAGGGCAATGCTCTTATTAGTAAAGACAGGCTTAATTTTGACTAGTTGTCCACACTCATCCTCTTTGGTTAACTGCCAACCACCAACTTTGTTTTCTTCTGTGGTGGGCCCAACCGAAGAGGCAGCAGAGAGAGTTAAGAAAGAGTCGAAGCCCTGAGTTCAGTTTCTGTTTGTGTGACCTTGGGCAAATTACCATCTCCCTGGGCTGGTTTGCTTCACAAAGGATTAGAGAGGGTGAGGAACTAGCCAAGATTACCCAGCTATTAATTGGCAGAGTCAGGATTCATCCAGTTATTCTAGCCCCAAATTAAAGCAACAGAAGTTGTCATTGCCCATCCCAGCCTTAGCCAGAGGCATACCTGATGGCAAGTGTGGCTCAAAGTGCAAATGGATGCTACAGACTAACTTAACCCAATGCCATAAATCACTGATGCCAGGTCACTAGCCCCTAATTCAGATACCAGGTTCACCAAACAACCTCTGGATAGTGACTAGGCTTTCCGTATCAAAAGTCTGCATTATTTGCCTCCAGGAGCATTTTGGTCTGTTGAAAACTGAGCATCACTGTTCCTAGGACAATCTAAGCTGAAATCCACTTCAGGGGTTTTGCACTTGATCCTTCCCTTTGAAACTCTTTGCCCAGAACTCAAGTGGCTCAGACTCTCACTTCATGTGAGCTCTTCTGGTCCATCCCTGTCCACTCTCTGTCTTCTTATCTTCCTCTATTTTCCTTTATTGCCCTTATCACCTACTGGTGATGTTAGATATTCATTTGTTTGTCAAACTCCTCTACTAAAATGCACACTAGATAATGGCACAAAACTAAGTCCAGTGCTACGTTCCCACCACCTAGAACACACATCATAGGGCATATCATAGGGCTCAATAAATATTTATTGAATAAATGGCCTATATATGAATATGAATAAATACATAGATCTTGGTCTTGAGCTTTTTTAATGTTGTCTATTAGAACCTGTCTATTAGAACCTGTCTCTAGAACCTGTTTATCCTAAAAGACAGGTTCACTCTTGGAATGCTGTCAAAAGTCCTCAGGATTCAGGTGTCTGAGTATACGAGCTTGCGAACTGACCTCTAGACTATGGTGAATTAGCCATGCAAAGCATCCAACCTCTAAAAGCCAACCAGTTCATCACCAGTGGCCATATTTCTTATTCACACCTATTAAATGTACGTGTTTGTTTAATACTCATTTTAATCTTATAAGGTTAAATTCAAGTTCTGGAAGGGGATAAAAAGAAGCTCAGTCAGAACCCACAACAAATTCATATTAAAGCATGTTTATCATTGACTTTCAGAATGTGAAAAGTATGCATTATCGTACACAAAAAGAAGTTATTTGATGGTTTAGCTTGCATTATTTCATGTAGATAAAAGTTCATTAATGCAATCACATTCCAAAGTGGAGAGGTATGGAATTCTTTTCTCTCTTGTGATACAAGTTTTAATCCCTTTATCAATGAGTGTTTTAGTGTGTCATTTACTGAGATCAAGACAGTTGCATTATCTGCTTGTTTAGCATGAAGAATAAAGCATTGTTTCAAAGACAGTCACTGTGAACCCCAGTGCAGGACATAGTTTCCATGCTCTAGAAAAGAGAAGTCTCTGGCTTCTCAGTTCCAGTCAATGAAACAGCAATATCCACCAATATCTGCTGTGTACACTGCGTTATACAATCAGCCACAGTAAACTCAAAAAGTGAAACACAGAATACCTACCTCCAAGGGACTTGGGCTATCACTGGGAAAATGACACACCCGATAAATTCCACGGCAACAAAGAATTTAACCAAGACTCCAAGATGATATAAGATGTTACGAGTCCATGTGATAATTGAATGAATTATTTGGATGATGAGAGCATTGTGTTAGTATAATCCAATTACATTGCCATGGGCTTCGTACTGAAATAATAGTAAAGTGGATGAAGAAAAACAGAAGCATGAGCTTATCTTTTTTTTTTTCCTTCTCTAAGGCAAAATCAAAGAAGTAGAAAATATGCCCCTCTTGTCTGATATGAAATAAAATAGCCATAAATGTGAAGCCAATCTTCATAAGAATCATGACACAGATGAACTGTGTCTTCTTAAATCTCCCCAAATCCACTCTCTGCTCACTCACCTCCCCACACACATACATAGCACTTTCTCATTGCCCCCACCTTCCGGAAGCCCAAATTGCTGTAACTTTCCCAGAACGAATCTCCCTGGAAAATGCCTGCCCTGGAATTATTGCTTTTCCACCTCCCTCCCTATGCTAACGTCCCCTTCTTTCCCCCTTTCCTCCATAACCTGTTCCTTACAAAAATGCTTTCAGACAGCCATGAAAAAATGAAGAAATTTGACAAATTCACTGTACGTTGTTGAAGCATAGCAATTTGCAGCCTACTCATGAACGTTTTTACACTTTAAAAGAGGACATTTGGAGATCACAACTCCCAAAATGAATTTCTAGTAGCTGTGTTCTAGTCACCGTGGCACTGAATGTGGGAGTGAGGAGGCAGGTCATTGGTCAAGGGAGAAGAGGAACTTCTGAACTTTGTGCATAAATATGTCTGTGAATCCCAGCCATAATTCTATATATTACAGTTTATAATTTTGGGACATGACTCAATTTTTAAAAACATATTTTCAAGTCCATTCTGTGATGTACTCACTGATCCTGCTAGGACATTGCCCACAGGGGCCGTATCCTCACTGAGCATGTGTTTTGTTGATGACCAGGGTCTCAGAGTGGATGACTCAAAAGTACTACATTGCTGAGTTGATGACCCTGCTCTTTAAACAGAAAAGTGTACCAGGCCGGAGGTGATGGCTCACACCTGTAATCCTAGCACTCTAGGAGGCCTAGGCGGGAGGATTCTTTGAGGCCAGGAGTTCGAGACCAGGCTGAGCAAGAGCAAGACCCCAACTCCACAAACAATAGAAAAAATTAGCTGGGTGTGGTGGTGCACATCTGTAGTCCCAGCTACTTGGGAGGCTAAATCAGGAGGATCACTTAAGCCCAGAGTCTGAGGTGGCAGTGAGCTATGATCACACCACTGCACTCTAGCAGGGGCGACAGAGTGAGACTTTGTCTCAAAAAAAAGAAAAGTGTACCAAAATTCATGCCCAATTTATCGACTAAAATATCAAATGATGAATTTCAAAGCTATTGTGAAGACTGGTCTAATGTCTTCATCATTAGACAGAATATAAGAAAATGAGGAAAATTTGTCTAAAAATGTAAGTGAATTAATAGATAATAGGACAAGTCTATGCCCACAAACACAAATACAAGTTCATTTCAAGTCAGTAGGGAATAGTCATAAAAATTGACCATACTCTAGGCCATAAAAGAGGCTCCAATCAATTCCAAAAAATCAACATCATATGGACCACGTTCTCTGACTATAAAGCAATAAAATTGACTTTGGTCACAAGAAGATAGTTTTTTTTTTTTTAAATCCCATAGATCTAGGGGGATATTTTTCTACTAAATAATCCTTGGAAAGCGTAAGAGAAATTATAAAAGATTTGGAATGCAACAAAACGAACACTTTATGTAGCAAAATCTTTGGGACGTGGTGCTTACAGGAAAATTTATTGCTTTGAATACATTTATCAGAAAGCAAGAAATAT